TATCAAAAAAAAATTTTTTTTGAGACAGACTCTTGCTCTGTTCCCCAGACTGGAATGCAGTGGTGCGAGTATAGCTTGACCCCCTGGACCCAAGTGCTCCTAGCAATTCAGGCTTTCAAGTAGCTGAAACTACAGGCACACAACACCGGGCCCAGGTACTTTGAAAAACATTTTTTGTAGAGATGGAGTCTCGCTATATTGCCCAGTTTGGTCTCAAACTCCTGAGCTCAAGCGATGCTCCTGCCTTGGCTTCCCAAAGTTCTGGGATTACAAGCACGAGCTACTGCGCCTGGTCAGAAAGCTATTTAAATTCCTGTGCACAGAAAAGTACATGAATAAAAATACAGCAAGGAAAAAGGAACACTCTTAAGTGCTATTTACATTGCCCAAATGTCACTGAATCCTCTAACATCCTAAGACCCCCTTGATTTGGTATGTAAATAAAAGAACTCCAGACTCCCACTGCACAAAATGTAAGAAGTCCACTGCCTTGTCAGGTTTTTCATAACTCCTGGGGCGGGGGAGGGGGTAGCCTGTTTACTGCCCCAAGTATTATTTTAGCTTCTAGCTCAGTTCTTGATCTCTCTCAGACTGACCCTGCCACCCTGCCATGATTGAGAGCCACTCCAACTCTCTGGTCTGCTTTGCTCCAAAACTTGAGTACATTGTCCCTGTTCCACACTATATTTTCTCATTGTTAGTCACCTGAGTTGTCAAAGCAGAGTTTAATTGAAGATCAAGGAAAACAAAGTAGAATTACAGAATTCATCAGAAAACACCCGAACATTGAACATCAGATCTGCATGAAATTAGTTTGCCAGTTATCACTCTCTGTAGACCAGAGCTTCTCACTACACTGCCTTTACCTTCTCTCAGGAAGCACTCCTCCAGAACTTCTCTTTTCTGAATGTGCAGAAACATCGTTTCCATTATTCATCACTCTGAACATAAAAGATAAAGTTCCTAACCCTTCATTATGTACAGTCATTTAAGTCCTCTAGCCAAGATCAGGAAATGCCTTTATCCAATAAACATGCCCAAGTAATAACTTCTGAAACCAAAGTGCCACCTAACCTGAGGCTCCATCCTTAGTACAAAACAACCAGCAGCTTGGAGTTAGGTATTTCAGCATGAGTTTACCTGCATCTGTGTGTGTGAGTGTGGGGGCGCTGCAGGAAGGGGCTAGGATTGGGGAGGTATAGAATCTCTTTTCTGTACCAGAACAAACCCCATGTGTGCCCGGTTTTGTTTTTGTCGCTGTTGTCCTTGTTGTTGTTGCTCTCATCATCCTCCTTCATCTTCTCTTCCCCTTCCTTTTCTTCCTCCTTCCTCTACTCTTTCTTTTCTTCTTCCTTTTCTTATGCTTACTCTTCTTCCCCCTCTTTCTTATAAACTTTTTCCACCTCCTCTTCTTCTTACATTATTTTTTTGGAATATTAACTCTAAAATGGATTCATAATTTATTCCACCAGAGAAAATCCAGAATCTCTACTTTGTCTTTCAAATCTCTCTATTAATGAGCCCAGCCTACCTGATTTCCCACTTGACTCCTTTGAAGAGCCTTCGTTTCAGCAAACTTGAATCATCTACAGATCCCTGACTGCTCCCCTCAGTTGAGGTGCTGCTTCTCCCATTTGTTTGTCTGTTTGATTTTTGAAATGGAGTCTCACTCTTGTCACCCAGACTGGAGTGTAGTGGCGCGACATTGACTAGCTCCAATCTTCGCCTCCCGGGTTCAAGAGATTCTCCTGCCCCCCGAGTAGCTGGGTTTACAGGTGTCTGCTACTATGCCCAGCTAATTTTTGTATTTTTAATAGAGACAGGGTTTCACCATGTTGGCCAGGCTGGTCTTGAACTCCTGACCTCAGGTGATCCGCCCGCCTCGGCCTCCCTAAGTGCTGGGATTACAGGCGTGAGTCACCATTTTTATCAGTCCTATATTTCCAAGCCCAGCCCACACTCAAAGATTCATTTCAGCATCACATTTCTCATTACTCAAGTGTAGATAATTTTCTTACCTTGACTGCCTTTCAGGGCTCCAAAGAGGATCCACCTCATAGATAATAGACGGCACATACCTTCAATCCGCTTTCCAATTCTACTACTATGAGTCAGATTACAGAGTCAGAAAGACCTGCAATTCAGTTCCAGCCCTGCTACTTCCTAGTGTGTGCTTGTTTGTTTGTTTGCTTTTACCTTGGAAAGATTAGTTTGCCTCTGTGTGCCTATTTTTGTCATCTGTTAATGGGGATTAAAATAGTACCTACCTCAAGGGTTACCAGGAGGATAAAATGAAGGAATGTGCACACATTGTTAGGCACAGTGCCTGGCACATAGCAACAGCTCCATAAACATTAACTATGTGGTATTATTTTCTAACATTGAATGAGGTTCCATGATTTCAAAACACACTTCCAGGTTATTAAATAAAAACATCTAATCTACCCTGTGAAATGGCTAGAATAAATTTCGAATGCCTGTTTTATGGATGAGGAAACAGTCTTAGAGACAAAGATCAACTTTGCTGGACTTTAGCAACAATTAAAACTTAAGATAACTGCCACCATTGTTTTGGTTTTTACCCTGAATTTAGTTACAGATAAATTACATTCACCTGGGCAGGATCTTCAGTCTTTAAGGAGTTTATAGGAGTGTCCTAGAAATAGAAAATAGTATGAGCGGCCTGGGCTCTATCGCCACTGTTCAGGAGACTGAAATAGGAGTGGAAGGAAGAAAGAATGGTTTTATCTCTGGTTGTAAATTCCCCAGGGGGAAAAATAATTGAAGAACTGTTTATGATAGAAAACTATAATGAGGAATAATGGAATGAAATTAAGGAAAGAGAAATAACAAGTTTATAATAAGGTTCCAGTATGAGGTATTCAAATTTAATTGTGTTTTTTAAGTAATGTCAGACTCACAGATGCTGTAGCGATGAAGACTGTATACAAATGGGTGCATAAATAAATGACTTTATAATCTACACAATCACAGTGGTGTGCCTTATAAGCCAAGATGCCATTTTGCAACTGCACATTTAGAATTGGCATTGCAAATGCAAGGAAAGAAAAAAAGCAAAACCTCCTATTGAGCGGAGAATGTGATTGTTTCCTATTTCTCATAACTTACTAAGAGGAATAAAAATACACACACACACACACAACGGAAAATTACCCAGCCTTTTCAAATTATTAGGTTTGCATACGTTGTGATCCATTTTTGAGTTGAAGCATTACACACTAGGAGGTTAATTTATCCAACAGAATGTTATAATCAAGCATTTCAAATGCATTGCTCAGATCCCCAGAGACCTTAGGGATGAAAGGAAAAAAAAAGATATTCAAATTAATTTTTATGTCTCCCACACTGCTACAGAGACACAGCTAAAACTGTCATTCAGAACTAGTGCTGCAGGAAAAGTGGGAACTTGAAGAAGATCCCTGCTTTTCTGCTGCTGTCTTCTCTGTGGAATCAAATTATTTGGAGTTCTTTGTTTTAAAGTCATTATTTTTCATTAGACGAGCCGCTGCTGTTATTCAAAAGTTAATAGCAAGAATATGTCTGGCTGACACAACAAATACAGCCATAGTTCTACAGTTATTAATGCCAGTAACAATTTGAGATACAATAAATGACTGTGCACTGTGGCATTTACCACTCACACAATAGCAGGGAACTGTGCTGACAATCCATCTTCTGAAAAGAGAACATACACACACACACAGACACACACACATCCATATGTGTGTACACACACTGAACCCTTAATACTCTTGTGATGATGGCTACCAGATACATCACGGCAACTAAATGAAGTTTTATAAATGTAGGATTTCAAAGTATGATTTATGATGCAAGGGAATAAATTGTGACACAAAGCATTTGTCTGGGAATTTGGAGGGCGTAAGGAAGAATTGGCAGTCATATTGTACTTCTCCAGATAGTAAGGACATATACAAATAACTCACTAAAATGCCTGCATGATTCTTTCAGCCCTTTTATTTTCAGTGGTAATTGTGTTACCAGTCACTGGTTCCAGGGCTTAAGTGATTTGATTCAAGGCTAGCCTTGGTCTCAGGCATCGTAATCGGATTTTCCTTTTTCTTAGAGATTTACAAGGTGCATGGGCATATTAAAGTCTTTATGTAGTTCTACAGTGCATGGATATAACATATTTTCAACTTTTAACCTTTTCTTTTTGACTTCCTAATTAACATTGTATGTAACAGCATTTTATGAGTAATAGTTTGGAAACATGGTCTTAATTCCCCTCCTCCCTCATATATACAATCATACATGGAGAATTTTTATGATTTAACAGAAATGAGGTTGCTCCCCATATCCTTCCAATTGATGAGATTCAGATGCTCAAATTATTGGAGAACTGTGACCACTGAAGAACCCTTCTGCTATGCGTTCCTCCGCTGAATGATCAGCCTGGAGAGGACTAAAGGTTGCAAGATTCTCATGGGTCTTTTGGGTTTCAGTTCTTGTTCTGACTCAGTAATCTTCTATTGTCCAATTAATTTGCAAACTCCATCACTGTTGGGGCTATTTTTCTCCTCCACATAAGAGCCCTCCTATATCATAGTACAGACAACTAATGTCCAAAATACAAAGCTTTTTGAGAACAGCAGTCATTCCTGTATCACCAGCACCTACCCCATGCTAGCCACAAAGTCAAGGCTTACTAATGATCATGGCTAAATTAAATTAAAACACCAGAACTTTTCACAAATCCATTAAGTCTGCTAGAATTTTGGCCAACGATTTTTCATTGGTCATTGACTACGCTTCTAACTCCTAATTGCTTTATGCCTATCATCAATAAGCATTCATTCAGCAACCATATGAACAGATGAGTGCTTCGCAGGGCAAGTTTAATTGACTTATTCTGTGCCCTTTCAGAGCAGACAGTCTTAATTTCTTTTTCTGATAAGAGTACATATCTTCATTCAGTTAACAGAATGTGACAAATTGCTATTATAACTCTTACATACCTTTCATATTTAGCAGTTTGTCTCTTCTCCTATTGCATCAGGTTCCTAGGTAGATCAGTACGTATTCAATGCAGACTAAAAACATTCATAAGCTTGATTGTTCAAGGCATGGCCTAGCTGCTGTCATTTTCTAGTTAACTAAAGGTCACTCTCCAGTCTGCTGTTCTGCCTTGTTTGACATTGAATGGTTCCCCAATTCATCATCCAGTGCATCAGTTCTGTGCTGTGTTACAGATAGAGAATCATAGACCCAGGATGTTAGACCTGAAAAGATGTTAGACGTTGTTTAGTAGTGGTTGTGGTATCGATGGTAACACTTTCACTACCTTACCTTTGTATACATTTTTAAATGTGGGAAATATTTTCTCATATCATTTGATCCTTAGCATCACCTAGAAGGTGAAAGACAATAAATGCAAGGAGATGCTGATCTTCTCCATGTCACAAAACAGCAGAACTTCTGCAGTCTTTGGACTGAGTCTTCCATTCTTTCTCTATTGTCTGAAGAAGGAGGTTGAAGAAGAAGAGAAGAATAAGAAAAAAGAAAGGGGAATGAAAAGAGAGGAGGAGAAAGATGAGGGGAAAAAGCAATGAGGAGAGAGAGGAGGGAGAGAAGAGAGGAGGAGTTAAAACAGAAAAAAATAAAGGAAGACGAGTACTTGACTCAAAGTATGTGTTTAGCAAATATTTTTGAATGAATAATAGTAATTCTTATATGCATATAAAAATCCTTTGTGTTTAAGTTTCCTCATATTTTTCTCTACCTCTAGTTGTTGTGAAGATTAAATAAATATATATTCAAAATACTGTGTGTCTGTGTGTGTTTGTATATAATGTTTACAATAGCTCAATACATAGTAAATACTCAAATAATGTTAACCATTCTTAAATTGATAGTATTTTACAGGTTAAAAAAATTTGAAAATAACATAATAATTAACGTTCAAGATAACCCTTTGAGATCAGTGATTATATCTTCATTTTATAGATGAGCAAACTAAAACACTAAGTTTGAGTGACAATACCTAGTAGCAATACCTAGCTATTTACCCACCCCACAGCTGCCTCCTTCAACTAACCCACAAATGGTAGTGGAGACTTCACAGTATAAATGGATATGTCTGTGATTTCATGGTTAATTTAGATGCAGGATATTAGGCTACATGCACCCCCACCTTAGGACACTGCCTGGATCCTGAGAAAATCTTATTTTATCTTTAATTATCCTAATTGTTAGCTTGTTACTTGAGAACTGCCTCTTTCTCTTGATAAGAACGATTCAAAAAGAAAAAAAAAAGAGCTAGACAACTGGTATAGTTAATTGAGCTCTAGCTAACTAAGATTTTACTTTCCAATTATATCTTCATACTAGAACATTTATGTACACTCATTGTAAGACAGAGATAAATTGGGAAGGAGCAGGTAAACCAACCTGAGTTTTCACTGCATTTGTAAGTCAAGTACTGGCTATAAAACAGGGAGTTCTCTCCTGGTCTGGAGCTCTGCCTTTTTCCTTTTCTATTTTGTTACTTACGAAGGATACAAATACATTTTCCCAAGTCAGTTGGATTCTAACCCAAACTAATCCTCACCAAGAAGGAAGAAAACGAGATGCAGTTCCCAGTGCCCACTTTAAGTGCAAGCTTAAATTATGCCACAGCAAATGACACATATTTTGCATTCTATCTTTGATGGATTGGTTACATGTATCATATTGAGAGCTGTCTCCTTTGCTTCAGTTAGTAAGCACTGCTCAAAGTATCAGCTGGCTGATAGTTAACCAATTTCTTATTGGTTAAGATTTTTATTAAATCAAATGTTATGTGATCATGGTATCATTACAGGTAATTTGATAGTAGGAGGGCTGTGTTAAATTTTAACCCTACCGTTTACTTACTACATCTTTAGTACTTACTACATCTTTAGTACTTACCACATCTTTACCTCCTGGAAAGGTTGCTTAAACCTCTTGAGTCTCCAACCAAAAACTAGGATATTAATATTTATCCCTGGAAATGATTGGGGAATGAAATTAGCTTTTCGTGTATTAATGATAATTTCTCAGTCTAAAACGATGTTATTTACAGTTAAGTTACATGAGTAGGTGTTGAATGCTGACTAAGTATCTTTGATCGTGAAATGTTTGCAATGAGTTAACCCAAGTCCCTTGCTTTAAAAATCCTCAGAGACTGAACCGCCATAGAGAACCTTGATGCTGCCAAAGTCTAGAAACTTCAGATGCAGGGTCTGATAAAGGCAATGCTTCAAAGGATTTAAGGCAACTTCGTTTAACCTAGCAATAAGATTTAGACCAAGCTCTCCCAAGTTGGTCCTTAGACCTAACAACATCTCTGTCTTTGTCTCTCTTGTTAATTGTGTCCTGCTGGCCTGGACTAATACTACAAGGCAATTAGCTGTGTTAATTAAAAATACCAGCCAACAAGATGCTTAAGAATGTTGCTGCCAAAGGCAGTCTCCAGTTTTAAACAGCCAGATTGATTTAAGGGCTTTTAACCAACTGCTCTATAAATTTCACGACCAACAGCTTAGTGCTATGGAACAGCAAGTGAAGGTTGAAAGCCCAGTGGTTTGCAGGCTCCCTACCATATGAAGGAGCCACAGGAAGGAGAGTGAAAATGAATCTTAACAGCCTCAGGGCAGTGAGAGAGGTTTTGAGGGAAGACTGTTGAACAACCAAGAGAAATCAAGAGCGTTATTTCAGAGCTAGATGTAGATGGGTTAGCTTCTGTAACTTACGGTAGTCAAAAGGGAACTTTGGAAGGTGCTGAAGCAGTAGAAGGCAGATTGGAAAATTTCAGTGGACCATTCTAGTTGTTGAAGACATAGAAATGAGGGCACTGCTTGGCAGTGAGGGTGTTTATTTACAGAAGCCAGGCTTGTGATCTATTGGAAAAGGAATAGACGATACAACTCTGTGGTTTTAGAGCTAGGGAAAATAACCTACTTCTGAAACCACCAGAGCAGCTGGCTAGTCCATATATTATCCCATGGCCCAGACGGTAGGCTATAGTGAGCGTCTCGACTATTAGCAATGCACATCCTGAAGCCTCTGGAAGCAGATGGTAAATCTGTGGTTCCAAATAATCCGTATAAAGCAGGACTACATCCAGTTAATGTATGACAAGGGAGCAGTACCTAGTCCCTTTCTTTCTAAATCCCCAGTAAGTCTAGACAGGGTGTCAAAACTCCAGCAGAGGCAGATTAGTCATACTCCTGAATGTTCTAGAACATATGCAACTTTCTTTTTGTGTACTGAAATTACAATCTATCTACATTTTTAACACTTGAGACATTATTTCTTATGCTAATATAATTTCATCAGATTTCACTGGGCACCAGAAGCACCTGTAAAGTTTAATTACCTAGGCCTCCATACAGACCTATTGAATAAGACTCTCCAGAGGTAGTACCCAAGTATCTATATTTTTAAGAAACACCACAGGTAATTTTTATATTCACCTAAGGTTGAGAAGTATGGTGTTTATAGGTTTTTAAAGGGTAGAAAGACTGCAGTGTATTGTGTCTATACATGAGCCTTGGGGTTCAACAATCTTAGCTTTTACTCTTAAAAGTTGTGAGATTTGGGTAAGCTGCTTAGCCTTTTTAATCCTCAGATTCCCCAAATGAAAATGGGAATAGTGATAGTAACTTCACATAGCACTGGTATGAAGATTATTAAATGAATTCATATGTGTTGAAAGCTTAGTACAGAGTCTGGCAGGTAGTAAGTATTAAAGAAGCGGGACTATGATTGACCGATGTAGTATTTGGTCTTTGGTCCTTTTAGAGCACAGTCAAAAATGAAAACACCCCTAAGAGATGTAGGATGTTAAAAGAGCAGAATATAATAGTGGAAAGAATACAGGCAGAGTCTGGGTTGTATCTACCACTCCATTACTCTCTCATCTTAGGGAAGAAATTTGAACTCATGACCTTTAGTTTATTCATTAGCGAATTGGCGTTATAAATTATGGGGCGACTCAAATCCAGTTATGGTCTGATTTTGTGAGCCCCAACCTAAGAATGACATTTACATGTTTAAAGGGTTGTTGAAAACAAATACTATATGCGGCCCATGAAGCCTAAAATATTCACTGTTTTTAAAGAACAAGTTTGCTGACCTCTACTAGAGCGGCATTTTCCAAACTTTAATATGCATGCAAATCATTTGATGCCTTCTTTAAAATGCAGATTCTTATTCAGTAGATCCGGGGTTGGGCCTGAGACAGCAGTTTAACAAGCCACTGAATGGTGCTGATGCTGCTTGCTTAGGGATCAATGATGCTGATGTTACCTGCTCGTGTTCAGTAGCAACCCTGGATATTCAGCTTTAACTGGTAGTGGGTAGGGCCTGGGCTTTTCTTATATTTGTAAAGCTCATGAGCTGATTATAATCTGCGGCTAAGGCTTAGAGCATCTGATCCACTTTGGAGCCCGTCTGCAGAATAAGTTCAATCAGCTGTCATCTTAGAAAACAGAATCAAGGGCCAGGCATGGTGACTCGTGTTTGTAATCCCAGCACTTTGGGAGGTGGGAGTGGGCGGATCACTTGAGCCCAAGAGTTTGACACCAACCCTGAGCACATGGAGACACCTCATTTCTACAAAAAAAAAAAAAAAAAAAAACCACACAAAAATATCTGGGTGTGGTGGCGAGGACCTATGGCCTTAGGTACTCAGGAGGCTGAGGTTGGAGGATCACTTGAGCCTGGGCGAGTTGAATGCACACATCACAAAGCCGTTTCTCAGATAGCTTGTTTCTAATTTTTGTCCTGGGATACTCTCTTTTTCACCATTCACCTGAATGAGCTCTGAAATGTCCATTTGCAAATGGTCAAAAACAGTGTTTGCAAATGGCTGAATCGACGGAAAGGTTGAACTCTCTGGGTTGAACACACACATCAAAAAGCAGTGAGCCATGATCGTGCCAGTGCATTCCAGCTTGGGTAACAGACCAATATTTCATCTCAAAAAAAAAAAAAAAAAGAAAGAAAGAAAATAGAATCGCATCTCTAGGAATGTGATTCAAAACAGGTGAGTTCTAACAAAGGAATAAAAGGAATGGCAAAGGAAAGGGGTCTGGTTGTTAATGGGCTGCACATAAAATGCAACTGTTTAGTTCTTGAATTTTTGTAGCTCAAAATATTTGCCTGGTTCCTTATCTGTTTGTTCCTTATTTTACTAGCCTTGCTTCTTCACTTGCTATTAAGTTAAATCAATTAATTTACTGATGAATTTGTGGATCTCTTTCTAGATTTTTGCCCTTGCTTTCCTGGACCTATAATGGTACCTGCATTGCGTTGTTTGTTATCTAACCCTGTAGAACTTGACTTCTGGTTCACCTGAATTGAGTAGCCATCAACACCTTCTGTTGGATTTAATTCATGACCCAAACCCCAGACTGAAAATATAGAATGATGGAACCTTAAGTATAAGAGCTAGAAAAGAATTCAAATACTGTACTGTAGTAGAAGAATGTAAAACACTTTCTGC